TTTTTTTTTTTTTTGCTGTTCTCTTTCTATTTGTTTGAGTTGTAGCTCATGTTTTGATTTTGTTCCTTTCTTATTTTTTGATGTGTGCATTTATTGGTAAAAATTTATCTCTGAGCACTGCCTTTGCTGTGTCCCAAAGGTTTTGGTATGATGTGTTTTCATTCTCTTTGATTCTAGTAATGTTTTGTTTCCATCTTTGATTTCTTCTATTACCCAGTGGTTTTAAGCAAGGTGTTATTCAGTTTCCATGTTTTTTATTTTTTTTCCTTACTCTTCCTGTTATTAATTTCTACTTTGATGGCACTGTGAACAGAAAAGGTAATTTGTATTATCTCAATGTTTTGGATTTTGTTGAGGGTTGCTTTGTGGCCTATGATGTGGTCTATTCTGCAGAATGTTCCATGTGCATTTGAAAAGAATGTGTACTTTGCTGCTGTTGAGTGGAGTGTTCTATATATGTCTATGAGGTCAAGTTGGTTGATTGTGGCCTTTGGCTCTTCTGTATCTTTTCTGAGTTTCTTTGTAGATGTTCTGTCCTTTACTGAGAGTGGTGTGTTGAAGTCTCCCACTATTATTGTGGAACTGTCAATGTTTCTTTTCAGTGCTGTTAGAGTTTGTTTTATGTATTTTGGAGCCCTGTCATTGGGTGTGTAGATATTTGTCATGGTTTTGTGTTCATGGTGCATTGTCCCTTTAATCATTTTATAATGTCCTTCTTTGTCTTTTATGGTAGATTTTGTTTTAAAGTCTATTTTACCTGAGATTACTATTTCAGTGGCTGATTTTTTGGAAGTAGATTGCCAGGCCTTTCTTCCAGTGTATCTTGGGATGGACTGGAACTTCCAATCTTTTTGTTAGCAGTCAAGCTCTTTAACCATCTGCACCACCCAGGGACTCTGGCAGCAGTGTAGGAGTATATAATTAGGAAAAAAAAAAAAAACCCTAGGGCATTCTGATGTGCTAGCAGGGCTTCTCAACCTTTGGCACTATTAATATTTTGAGCTGGATAATTGTTGTTGGGTGTGTCCTGTGCATTATAGACTGTTTAGCAGCATCCCTGGCCTCTACTCAGTAAATGCCAATAGCACTCCCCTCCCCCAATTGTGACAGATGTCCCCTGAGGGCAAAATTTCCCCTAGTAAAGAACAATTTTGCTAGGGAAAATGTACCCCCTGTTTGATAATCACTATTTTAAAAGTTAATAGATCAATAAGTAAAAGATTTAGGAAAGTAGCTTTTGGTCTTTTATGAGAGGAGGGTTATAGTAAGCAGTCTTCTTAGCAATGGATTGGACCACTTAGAATGGTATTGAGTTCTTTGCCACCTGGTCATCTTGGGGGATGTTGTAGAAGGTAGATGTTAGCATAAATGAGCTTTAAGGTACTTTTCAGCCTCATTATAAATGTGGGATTTTAAAGCTAGAAGATCTTACAGTCTAGTGACAAAGACAGACACACCTTCCCTCTTTTTAAAATCCTAACAATTTATAATCTGCAGGAATGAGTACCATATTCAAGATCACAAGACAAATTCTGTTAAAACATGCTTCTTTTCTATCCTCCACGCTCCTTCATAATTGTCTATAACATTTACTACCTGCTTTAGAAAAAAGGAAACTTTTTTTATGAAAATTTGAATAAAATCAGTTCAGTAAATCCTGAGTTATGCAAGAAAAGAAATAAAATTCAGATGTTTCCAGTGTTAACTTTCTTACCCTTTGGGGTAAAAATGGATAATCGTGGGATAGAACTCATATCTAGTTTATTGGAGTTTGGAGTTTGGGTAATCAGTTATATTATCGCATGTACAAATCTTCCCAAACTTTCTTATTTTTCACTATATATAGTAAGGGAAATGCAAAAAAGCCTTGACGGAAAAAAAAAAAAAAAACTCTAGTTCATTTTGATAATGTTTTACCTTAGTTGTTCAAGGATGTTAACAAGATATACTCAGAATTGTACTAGAAATGTCCAAGTGAACTTACACAAGTCCATTTGTCTTCTGTTTTCTCAATCACAATAGTCTGTGTGTCACTGCCTGGTGGGATATATTCATAGTCATCATACAGGAGGCCTAGAATTGGATATTGTGTCCTGTACCTATGTAGGAAAGAAAAAAAAAAGATTAACAGGCTGCACAAGAAATAACTTTCATTCTTTAGTAACTCCTAGTTTGATTCCCCTTGTAAACCAACTCTGAATGACTTTTAAATGTTTCTAAACATAAAATTTCCTCTCAATGGGCAAAGATTTACTAGTATTACTTATAAGAGAATAAGAAGGAGAGACTTTAGCTTCTGGCCATGATGGATCACTGGCAGTACATGACAGTGACCCAGAGAAGGGAAACAAAAACATGAATGCTAAAATGGTCCAACTCACTAACTGGTAAGATTTTACTGGTTACAGGACAGAGGAAGTGAAGCCGAACAGATCCTAGCAGTCTCATCAAGTTGAGGAGACAGAATTTAGAGTAAAGATAGTCAAAGGCAGCCAGAATTTTTAGGACAGAGTCCCTTACAGAAGACAGCTATATAGAGAAGTCAGTAGACCTGTAAAAGGTTTTCTGTGAGACTTTGGCTGAGTACTGATCAGTGTATGCATGTGAAGAAACTATTGAAGCTGGGAAAGAACCACAAGAAAATAGCAAACTAGCAATACCTGTAGCTGACACAGAAAAGGGAATAGTTTTTATTCTACTAACCAGAGTGGAAAGACCTGCTAATACATGGGGAATGAGGTAGAGATCATAGAAGAATATTGCCTTAATAGTGGGATGAAATTATCCCTAGACTACAGGCTTCTCTGGAACCCTGGTTGTGCAGTGGTTAAGCACTCAACTGCTAACCAAAAGGGCTGTTGTTTGAATCCACCAGCCTCGTCATAGGATAAAGATGTGGCAGGATGCTTCTGTAAAGATTACAGCCTTGGGAACTCCATGGGGCAGTTCTACTTTATCTCATAGGGTCACTTGGAGTCAGAATCAACTCGACGGCAATGGGTTTACAGATGTCTCTAGGGGAGTTTAAAAGCAAGACTTGAAAGTGTTAAACTGTTTCGAAGTAACTTCTCAGAAAAAAAACTTAAAATATTTAAAGTAATATCAAAAAAATCTAGAACTCATCTATATATAATCACTCTATGTGGCATTCTATGAAGAATTAGTAAACATGCAATGAAGCGAGACTATATGACCAATATAGGAGAAAAATAAATTAGTAAAAGCAGATCAAGAAATGACACAAATAAAATGAGTGGATAATGGAGAAGCTACTAGAAATATACAAAATATACTCTGTATGTTGAAGACATTAAGGAGCCCTGGTGATGCAATGGTTAAAGCACTCATCTGCTAACCAAAATGTTGGTGGTTCTAACCCACTAGTGACTCCCTGGGAGAAAAGACCTGGTGATGTGCTCCCATAAAGATTACAGTCTAGCAAACCCTATGAGGTGGTTCTACTCTGTCCTGTAGGGTCGTTGAGTTGGAATCAACTCCAAGGGACACAACAACAACATGTTGAAGAAATTAGAGGAAAGCATGATGAAGAGAGTAATGGAAAATATAAAAAAGATCTACATTAAGACTTTAAATGATGAAAGATACATTGGATGGCATTACCTCACCAGATTAGGCACTGCAGAAGAAATAATGAATTTGAAAACAGCAAGATAAATTATCCAAAATTAGAGAGAAAAAAGATGAAAAAATATACAGTGCATGAATAAGCTGTGAAAAATATCAAGCACCCTCACAGATGTGTAAATGAAGTCTTGGAGATTTGGCAGGAGACAGAAAAAAGCTGAATAATGACCAAAGTGTTTCCAAATTTGGTGAAAACTATAAACACACAGATTCAAGAACCTCAAGAAAAAGAAAAACATGAAGAAAACCACAGAGAGGTAAATCATTTTCACATCCCTGAAAACCAATGATAAAAAGAGAATCTTAAAAACAACCAGAGAAAAAAACAGTTCTAAAACAGTAACAATCATAAAATTAACAGCAGATTTCTCATCAGACACAATGGAAGAAGACAATGAGTGACATCTTTAAAACACTGAAAGAAAAAACCTGTCAGTTTAGTATTCTATACACAGAAAAAAATCTTTCAGTAATAAAGGCAAAATAAATGTTATTTTCCATTATAAAAAGCCAAGAGAAATCTTTAGCAGCAGAGAATACAAGTTAATGTTAAGGAAATCCCTCAGGCAGAAGGAAAATGATACCAGATGGAAATTTGGACTTACAAGGAATGAATAGTACTAGAAAATGTACATATGTGCATAAATTTTAAAAATTGTCTTTCTTATTTTTAAAATGTCTTTAAAAGATAATCTGTTGTTTAAGGCAAAAATAACAGCAATGCATTTAGGGGTTCATAACATATGTAAAGGTAAATATATGACAAAAATAGCACAAAAATTGTGAGGGGGAAATTGAATTAAGCTATTATGAGGTTTTTATGCTATTTTAATGGAAATAACATGGTGGAATATAATATTATTTGAAGGTAGACTGTGATAAATTAAGGAAGACTACTGTAAACCCTAGAAAATCCATAAAAAATTGGTGTATCTTAATAAACCAGTAAAACATACAAAATGAATCATAAAAATAATCAGGAAAGAAAGCAAAAGAGAAAAGGGGAACAAAGAAAACATGGGATAAATGGAAAACAAACAGCAAGATGGCAGACTTAAACCCAACTATATGCATAACCCCATTAAATATAAAAGATCTAAACACTTCAGTTAAAAGGCAAAGATTGTTATACTGGATAACAATGCAAGACCTAATTATAAGCTACTTACCCCCCCCAAAAAAAATACAGTTTAAATATAAAGACACTGATAGATTAAAAGTATAAGGGTGAAAATATTTACAATGAATCCATAATCAAAAGATAGCTGGAGTATTTATAGCAATATTAGATAAAATAGCCTCCAAAACAAAAAGTATTAGCAGGGATTAAGAGGATCATTTTATAATAATAAAGGGGCCGATTCTTCAATAAGATGTAAAACTTCTGAATGTTTATTCATCAATAGGACATAACAATCCAAAATGTTTATGCACTTCCTAACACAAATTCAAAATACATGAAACAAAAACTGATTAGAACTAAAATGATAATTGGACAAATCCATAATTATAGTTGGAGAGTTTGTTGTGGTTTTCTCAATAATTGATAGAAGAAATAGAAAATCAGTAAAGATACACAAGATGTCACTAAAACACTTAACCAAATTGACCTAAATGACATTTATAAACATCCACCCAACAACAGTAGAATATACATTCTTTTCAAGGGCATGTGGAAAGTTTACCAAGAGAGATTATATTGCAAGCCATAAAACAAGTCTCAATAAATTTAAAATGATTTAAAGCATACAAACTATGTTCTCTGACCATAATGGAAATAAAAACAATAACAGAAAGATATCTGGAAAATTAAATAACACAAAACTAAATTACCTATGGGTCAAAGAAGAAATGACAAGGGAAATTAGAAAACATTTTGAATTGTATACAAGTGAAAACATAACCAATAAAAATTTTGAGATACAGCTAAAGCAGTACTTAAGCGGAAATTTGTAACATTAAAAGCTTATATTAGAAAAAAAAGAAAATGGTCTAAAATCAATGAATTAAGTCTCCAGAATTAGAACTAGAAAAGGAGACTAAAATTAGGTGGAAAACCAGCATGAGGGGTGGAATATGATAAGAGAAGAAATCAGTGACATAGAAAACAGAAAAACAGTAGAGAAAAACCAATTAAACCAAAAGCTAGTTCTTAGAGACAATCAATAAAGTTAATATAGTTCTAGCCAGATTTATCAATCAATACAACTCATCATTTTAACAGACTAAACACTAAGAAGCTTATGAAAGGGGGTAGTACTTCCAGAATGGAAGAGTAAGGAGCTCAGCAGACCTTCTCTCCAGCAAAACAACAATCTAGCCTGTGAAATTTATAAAAACAAAAACACAATGATTTAAAATGTCTCTGGAAATTGTCCTAAGATCAGACAGCAAATAGAAAAACATTCATTAAAGAAAATCTATTAAACATTGGTAAGAATAGTGAAAGTCTATGGCATTTGAGCCACAATTTGCTCCCTTACCCCTCTCCCCCAGCTCCATGTTTCGCAAGCTCTACTCTGGGCAGGTGCAGCCAAGAAGACAGGGACTTCTCCCCTCAACTTTCTGTCTGGGGCTATGGTTTCACCCCAAGTGGAGCAGACTGCCTGTGTTTCTCATCCCCCTCAACCCCATGTTGAAGAAGCTCTATTCCAGGCAAGAGTGGCTGAGAAATCTGGGCTCATTTTCTCCAGTCAGCCCTCACTTGTAGCACAAATACCCTAAGTGCCCCAGGTCAAGAACACTGGTCCCTAATCATCTCCACCTCAGTATGCCTAGAATACCAAGGGTTGGTTCCTCACCGTAAGTGTCCATTTGTAGAGCAGTGGTGTCACTTTGAAAAAGCATGTCCTTACCCCAGCTATGGTGCAATGGCACAGGGACTCTACCCAGGGTGAAAGGCAAGTCATGATGTCAAAGAGCTCCACAATTCTGCCTAATGGAAAACTTTATTTGGAACAGATATTGAAGAACACCATGTCTAAGAAGATTGTTGAAAACAATGGAGACCTCAGTGAGAGCCATTAAGAGGAATCTGGTATCTCCATGATATAAGCAAAATGTCAGAGCAGAGCTAGGAGTTTAATAGAGAAAATAGGGGGAAAGGCAGACAAGAAGAGCCCTCCTGGGATCAAAGTCAGCTCTGAGGGTCGAGAAGGCTGTGTGTATGTGTTAAGCTACACCTACTCAGGAGCAATCAGAACAACGTGGGGCGGACTTGAAAGCACTCCACAAGCTGCTTACAGGCCTATCAACAAAGGGCAGAAGACTCATTGCAGAAGCAGCCTAAATACTTCTGACTGAACAAAGACTGAAGAATAAATTACTCTGACCAAGGGGTGACTTCTAGGAAGCTGGACTGCAAAATCAAATCACACTCACCCCTGGCAGTCTGGAAGACTATGTGTATTGCCCAAGGTTGCTCCCTCTCAGGGAAAATCAGAGGGAACTTACA